GCTATGTACCAAGACCTAATAATGAAACAATGTAATTTAGAAAGAAAATTATTAATGCAAAAATTATCTGTAGCTACATACAATCTAAACGAATTCGCTTACTTAATGGGTGGTGTTGGACACTCTGCTATAAAAGCTGGTGAAATTGTATATTTGCTTAAATGTAAACCAACAAATGTTGATCTAGCAATATCAGAAGTGTTTTATACTTGCATCACAATTGTTGTAAAAAATAAAGTACCATTTAATTAATTTTAAAAAGAAATACTTTTATTTTAAAACACATAACATTACACATGAATTACATATACCAACTCTGTTATCAAGTACTATTTGTATTGATAGGCTAATCTTGAACAGTGTTACCACATATCACATCTCCCCTTTTAATTTTTTTTTTTCATATAACAAGTAATTGCTACACAACTAACATATTATAGAACAAATTACATTTAAAAAATAATTGTATATACAAAAGAATAAAGCATAATTAAAATACATAATCAAAATTTGCAATTATGTGACAAAATACTAATTAAAACACATTAAATAATTTACATAATAGAATCGATAGATACTTAGTTAATGAAACAAAATATTACATAGTAAAATAAAAAGAAGAAATGAGAAGAATAAAGAAGAAGAAAGAAGAAGCAAAGAAAGAAATGAGAGAAAGAGAGAAAGAAAAGAAAGAAAAAAAAGAAATAAAAGAAACAAAGATACAAAGAAAGAAAGAAAAAAAGAAAGAAACCTCATATAGTATTTCTTTTCTTTCTTTCATTTCTTTCTTTCTTTCTTTCTTTCTTTCTTTTCTTTCTTTCTTTCTTTCTTTCTTTCTTTCTTTCTTTCTTTTTTTCTTTCATTCTCTTTCTTTCTTTTCTTTCTTTGTTTTCTTTCTTTCTTTCTTTCTTTCTTTCTTTCTTCTCTTTGTTTCTTTCTTATCTTTCTTTCTTACTTTATTTCTTTCATTTCTTTCTTTTTCTTTCTTTCTCTTTCTTTCTTTCTTCTTTCTTCTTTCTTTCTTTCTTTCTTTCTTTCTTCTTTCTTTCTTTCTTCTTCTCTTTCTTCTTTCTTTCTTTCTTTCTTTGTTTCTTTTTATTTCTTTGTTTCTTTTTTTTTCTTTCATTTCTTTCTTTCTTTTTTTCTTTGCTTCTTTTCTCTCTTTGTTTCTTTGTTTGTTTCTTTCTTTATTTCTTTCATTTCTTTCTTTCTTTTTTCTTTCTTTCTTTCTTTCTTTCTTTCTTTCTTTCTTTCTTTCTTTCTTCTCTTTCTTTCTGTTTTTCTTTCTCTTCATTTCTTCTTTCTTCATCTTTCTTCTTACTTCTTCTTTCTTCTTCTTTATTATTCTTTCTTCTCATTTCTTCTTTTTGGAAGAAGAAAGAAGAAAAGAAAGAGAGAGAGAGAGAGAAAGAAAGAAAGACAGAAGAGAAAGAGAGAGAGAGAGAGAGAGAGAGAGAGTCTCTTTTTCTTCTTTCGTCTTCTAAAAAGACGAAAAAAGAAGCAATAAGAAGAAAGAAGAATAAAGAGAGCAAGAAAGAGAGAAGATGATAGAAAGAGAGAGAGAGAGAGAAGAAAGAGAAGAGAGAGAGAGAAAGAGAGAGGTAGAAGAGAGAGAGAGAGAGAGAGAGAGAGAGAGGTAGAAAGAAAGAGAGAAAGAGAAAGAGAGAGAGAGAGAGAGAGAAAGAGAGAGAGAGATAGAGAAAGAAAGAAAGAGCAAGAGAGAGAAAGAAAAAAGAGAGAGAGAAAGAAAGAAAATATAAAAAAGTATCTAACCGTACAGTGTAATTTTCAAGAAACTCAGAATAATTCAGATTCAATTATGTAATTTTTACAAAAAAAATTAATACAACTTTTTTTATGTAAACAGTTGTTTTGTTAAAGTTGCAAAGTTAGGCATTTACAAATATTGTTTTTTATATATTATTTATTTTTATGCATTTTATAATTAAAAATGAAAATAATCAATATTTAATGGTCAGTTTTTTTTAATGCATATTATAATGTATATTTTGATGATTTTAGGAGCATATTTGTGTAATTTTTAGAGCTATAAGTCCTTAAGCCTTAGTCATAACTTACGACTCTAATCCAGTCAGATTGTCGGTGCTAAAAAAGAAGCCTCATAAGGATGTGTGGTCCTAAAAAAAGCACCCATAAAAAACAAAAAGACTTCCAAAACCTCATGAGTTCGTTTTACAAGGACATATTTTTTCAACCAAATGAAGAAATTGAAGAATATTAAATATAGATGGCATACCTCTATATGATGAGGATGAAACATAGTCATAATTATTAATTATTAATTTTATTTAAAATTGTAATCTTTAAATAATTTGTATATTTTGTTAATGTTTTTATTTTTAATAAACGATGCATAGTAATACTATAATAGGTTACAATAAAAAAATTGTATTATTTAATTAATTAAACACATATCCTAAATTGTTTTTTTTTTATGAAAATATCAGAGGTTCGGAATTCGTTCCTATTTGACTCATTTCTCTTTTATGTTCCGGAACTCGTTCCTCAAGATATTTGTTCCGGAACAATTACCCGAACTCGTTCCTCGAGATATTCGTTCCGGAGCAAATACCCGGAACTCGTTCCTCGATATATTTGTTCCGGAGCAAATACTCGGAACTCATTCCTCGAGATATTCGTTCCGGAACAAATAAAATGTAATTGTTCCTTGTCATTATTAATAATTTATTAATGGAACAAAATGTATTGGTTCTACATATTATGTTGTTTCGTTCGAGTTTATTGAAGGTGCACATTTTGACATTTACATGTCTTAGCTCTGGCACATTATCGAAAAAAACGTTCTTTACAAAAGCGTAACGAAAAAAGCGTTCTTTACAAAAGTGTTACTAAAAGGGGGTGGGAATAGGGATGGGGTTCCCACCCCATCCCTATTCCCCTTTTCCCTATTTGGTATTTATCTTGCCACCTATCTCCCGATAGGTGGTAAGATATAGGGGTTAGGGTGGGAATAGGGATGTGGGGTGGGAATTAGCTCTGGCACATAACCGAAAAAAGCGTTCTTTAAAAAAACCTTCACAAACCCGTTACAGGGGGTAGGAGATAGTGGGAGAGAGATAGGGGGTGATTGATAGGGGTGGGAGATAAGGGATAGGGGATGGGAGATAGTGGGTAGGGGATAGGGAAAGATATAGGAGATTTGTTGTACGTTCAACGTTCAAATTAGAACTAAATAATAAATTCAAAACAGCTTAAGGGCCCAATTTCTCTATGAATTGTTTTAAGCTAGATAATAAACACTACAATTTTAGCCAGAAACTTGATGTTTTAATATACTAGCGCTTGTTACTGCTTCTTAATATACTATATCAATATTTATAATCTCATTTATAATATTATTTATTATCTCGGTACTTCAACGAGACATGTAAATGCTCTTTCGTGGTTGCAGACTCGGCTGAAAAACTTTTTTATTGTTACTTTAGCCTTTGTGTGTGGTATTTTAGAAACAATAGACACATTTATTTAAGTTGAATGTTAATTAATTTAAGTTAAATTTATTTTTTCATATTATTTTTATACAATGTGATCTCAAATTTTCACAATATTTTTATTTTTTACCCCCTACTCCCAACTAAGTTTTTTTGATAGCAAATTTTAAAACTTAAACGGTAACGTATATGTCTTATTAACTTTTTAAATTGAGAATAATATACTAAACATTTTGACTGGTCGATGACCAGATTACAATATTTTTTTTTAAAGTTATAAGAGTTTTAAAGTTAGGATGGGAGGGTAAGTGCGGTTGGAAAATGTGCGCAGATAAAAATAATCTTACACTCCACCTTTCCTTCTGTCCTAAGCTTGAAACTTCATCACAAGTTGGGAGGGGTAAAAACAAAAAAATTGTGAAAAATTGAGATCACATTGTATAACAACAATATGAAAAAAAATATTTGAATTTCTTATTAAACCCTATGAGATATTGAGTGGTTCATGATAAAAGAATCACTCTGTATATGTCATGTAAAAAAATTACACTGGAAATTAGCCATATATTATAGCCCGTATGTATCTAAAAAAATATTAAATTAATATTAGTTAAGCGTTTTTTAACTTAACAAGTTGAAGGACTGATGGTTTTGATGGATTAGTTGCATACATATTTCTTAGTATGTATAAATTTATTATAATAACTCTGTTAACTTTCACCATGTATATACTATATATATATTTATGTACACTGAAAATAACATTAATTGTTATATCAAATGCATTAACTATAATCTTTTGGTAAATTAATTAACATTTAACTTAAATAAATGTGTCTATTGTTCTAAAATACCACACACAAAGGCTAAAGTAACAATAAAAAAGTGCACCGTCAATAAACTCGAACGAAACACATAATACGTAGAACAAATACATTTTGTTCCATTAATAAATTATTAATAATGACAAGGAACAAATACATTTTATTTGTTCTGGAACAAATATCAAAGGAACGAGTTCCGAGTATTTGCTCCGGAACGAATATCTTGAGGAACGAGTTCCGAGTATTTGTTCCGGAACGAATATCTCGAGGAACGAGTCCCGGGTATTTGTTCCGGAACAAATATATTGAGGAACGAGTTCCGGGCATTTGCTTCGGAACGATTGCAACAGGGAGTCATGAAGGAACATGTTCCGGAATTAGTTCCGAACCCCTGGAAAATATAATACATTTTGAAAAAAAAAAACATAATCCAAATATCATAATTTTGAGCTTAATTATTCCTGACTGATTTTGACTTCAAAAATTGATTGATTAGGTAGCTTTACAAAATATTAGCATTTTGGTTGGGCATGAATGAAGCCAGTGAATTAGCAACAGTAATTCACGTCACCTGATAAAATTATTTTTTGGAAATGAATGACATGTGTACAACATGTACGTTTAACTATAAAATGTTTATATTTCTAACAATAGCAATAAGAAAAAATGAATGAAATATAAATGTGAATTCAATGTCCAAAGTTTAATTTGATAGATTAAGTAAAACTGCTGTCGCTCGTTTTATCCAATGGTCTGGTGGTTCTTCTCCACTTTTCAAATACAAACCGACTACGAAAGCATCTCTTCCTTGTACTCCACATCTTTGGGGGTAGTAATACACCGGGCATAAATAAAAACCTATGAAAGAGGTATAAACAATATTGTAGATATAGTTTAATGTGGTTGCTATTTTGAAAAGGTAACTACTTCTTGCTTTTCTTCTGACGCTTTTAACAGGTCTGAACTGTATGACTGGTAATTTAGCGATCAACTGTAACGGATTAGGTTCACACAAGCAGGATGCTTTATGATCCCAGTTAGCACCTTCCAAGTAAAGACTGCGCACGTATACGCCCTCCTAATAAACATATACGATTATTTACCTCGGATTATCGTCAGCTATACCATTGATTGCTTACGTTCGGCGGCATAACTATGTCTTTTGGAGGTATAGGGATTGGTGTAAAATCCCAAACGAGTAAATCTATTGGAACGGACGTACTTCGCGATTCAATCTGTACAGTACACAATAAGATAATATATTGTAACTAATTTAGTCGTTTATATACACATACTTGTAATACGGCAGTCAGAAATCCGGTGGGAAAAGTGTAAGCTCCGAGCCAAAATAGAACCGGCGGACGAACAGTGTTCGCCCAAATTGTAAAGTAACTAACCCTCTCAATTAAATCTTGCGTCCAAGCACCCAAATTCATTAACGATGGATACGCTAAAAAAAATTATAAATATATATAAATTAGGTACTACTGAATGTCCTAACGTCTGGCGGCTTAAACCTTTGAGCCATTGGCTAGGAACTCTGCCCTCGTCTATGCACTGAAACACTTCTTCGAGATCTGGCGATATAACTACGAGACCTTTGATACCTTTTCTTAAATTTACTAAGGATGACTTAATGTTGTTCAACAAAATATTGTAGCGTAATATCTAAATATCAATCAACAGTATTAGATGTATAAATAATAGTTTCTAAATTACTCCAATGGATAATTCGATTCTGTTAATCATACCTCCTGCAAAAGCACAACATCCAGTGGATTCCTTTTGGTCCCTATGTTCTTGACTGTCGTGTCATAGTCAATAATTTCTGGTATCTTATGCAAAATTTTAGATAGTAGATTTAATACTTTTTCTTCTTTATACTCTTCGCCTCCACCTGAAGATGGCCCTTGCAGGGCCATAAGAGTTTCGCAGAATATACGGTTTTCTCCCATCAAGGATGCCATATCAGAATTCGGATGCTGTCCAAACGCTTGCGGGCTATCCACGACCGGCAAGGTTGATATATAATCTCTGTATGACTGGACATCTCCATCTCGTGGAATATAATACATTACCAGCGAAGACAATCTACAATAATTAATAGAAAAAAAATTCCTTTACACATCTGACATATACAAATAAGCAATAAACACATTAATTAAAAAACAATAAGCTATGCCTGTAAAATGGAGTGTTGATAGATTCCTCGTTAAAATACTGATTGATATAAGTGTCTAATAATCTTCTGTCCCAATCATCGGTCACGTGTCCGCCATAACAAATCCCTGCGATGAGGTATTTTAATGCATCCCACGGGGTGTCTTCGTATTCGTCCAAATAAATCGAAAGCAAATTTTCTGACACCTTATTGCGATATTTTTGTTTCGTCAATGCCAAACGACTTAAAATATAATACGTTAATCGTATAATCTTATGTATTATTGTTTACCTCGAAATCAGAGTCGTTAAAACTATACACAACGTTCCATCCGAGATTTTTAAATTTTTTTCTTTCAACGAGCACTGAATGGAAAAAGCAAAGTGCAAATAATAATTTTTTATATTTTTCTTGAGAATGACATCGAGTAAAGTCGGATTCGCTAATATTTTGATACAAGCGTGTCATGTTTGCTTTTAATCCCTAAACCAAATAAAACATACAGTTTGCGTGGACTTAGTTATGTAACTTTTATTTTATAAACCTTAGGCGGTTCAGTTGTCATCTTAATAGCACTCTGTAATATGGCTATAGGAAAATCTGGATGTGGACTTGAGCTTAACCATAATCTGAAATTTGTGTGGCTCTTTCCATCTTGCATTACGTCAACTATTTTATCTAAATGTGGCATCCACGAAAGTGATAGATGACAATTAGCAAGGAATACCCAATGTCCTTCTCGTTGTCCAATGTCGATTAAACTGTTATAAACGAACCTTATAATAAAGTTAACACAAACAAAATATTATCAAAATATTATTTTTACGCTGTAGCAATTGGTGCTTGGCCTTGACCCAATGAGAGTGTTTGAAACTTTTCTTTCATATTATAACTTGCAGCAAGGCCGATCAACATGTTTGTTGGATCGACACCAGGAGACAAAACAAATATTAATGGAGTTTTGTTACTTGAGTCTTCTAGAACGCTTTTAATGTCTAACACTGGAGGTTCTACAAATTTGGGACCAAGGTTTTCTACGATAAATTTCGAAATCGAGAACGATAATCTATCCAGCCTTAAGCTTCTCACTAACAACATTTGTTGAAATGGAGTACATATATCTTTCCATTGACCTATTAGTTAATTGCCACAATTAAAAGGCTTGTATAACTATTGTACTAATTGACAATACTTACCTACGAGATTCATGTTTTCTGGTTCAGGGGACATATACCATTCTTTCCATTCGCGAGAAAACTGTTCAAATGATTTTCCAATACCGTGGAAACCAGGCAATTTATCCAACTCAGTAATATTGTCCCAGCTTGGTAGTGGTAGCCAAGCTAAGCATAACCAAATAAATCATATTTATTTGCATTATAAATAAAATAATTTATTATGAATTTAGTAAAACACTTTAACGAATAGCACAACAAAATTGATACATTCAATGGATTGTCGCAATAAATAATAATACCGAAACACAGTTTAATTTTATCTTAAGTATATTTACGTATATTGAGCGCCACATTTGTATATTTATTGGTATTAGATACACTCGCATAACACCAAAACATATTTTAGGTTAAGAGTTTTACTTAAATACAATGAAATCCGATATTAAGGCAATGAAGAGTGATTTTTCTATGTTCAACGAGAGAACGCACGACTACTGCACATTAATGGTGAACAATGCAGCCGACCGGTACCCAAATCCCCTTTACTGTCATATAAGCAAAAAATAGAGGTGTAGATGAGGTGTGATGAGGAAAGATCCATTTTTGGTCGATGCACCGCGAGAGTTCTCTCGTTCAACGAAAATGATCTGTAAATAAATGTATATAAAACCCTGCATTATTGTATACATACCGGCACATGGATTTTCTGCCTGTTCCTCTCTGTTCAACACTATACCACCCTTTAGAAGAAAGTCAAATTCTGTTCTAGATAACTGGCCTTTGCCCAATAATATTTTAACGCATATTTGAAAAGAAAACAACAGCTTGTGATGTTCAAATAGTCCACGACACGTGTTTCTGTATACTGCATACGTGTGATAGACATTTAAGTAATTTATTCTGAGATTGAAAAAATCACATTTCTCGCTTTTCCTTATTGAGTTTTCAAACAATGTCACATACGAATCCAGTGAAAATTGATACATTGGGTCAATCTGACTCAGGTCATTAAGAATGAAAAACAACGTAGAAGCTCGATTGGCACAAGGTCTGTAACCCTAAAAAAATAGAACTGACATATAATATCATCGAAAATGGTAAAGCAGGATAAGGCATTCTAAAATAATAAAAAACACTATATTAAAATGTTTTTTAGCATATGGTTTTGCGATGAATAATTTTCCGATAAGTAACACGAAATTAAAAAATTAGATGGGTGCTGGGTCTGTTTTAGGATATATTTGAAATAGTTAGGTTCTAACTATTAAACTATGAACATCGAGAAAATCAATAAACTCTATCTGATTTGAGGAATGAACATTCACCAGATTTGAAAATCTGAAATCACCAACATTAGCGATCAGACTACGCACCGTTAGCGACGAATGCAGGGAACTTTTACAACGAGCTGAGATTTATCTTAGCTTTCATTTCACGTACAGTTTGAAAACGCACAAGAATATTTTATTTAAGATAACTGAGAGGAAATAACAATAATCATCATCATATTCTATATTTGACATACTCCCCTTGAAGTGCGAAAATGGTAATAAAGGATAGGGCTCCCTAGCTAGGCCCGAAAAACCGAGGTTTTTTTTAATAAGAATTTGCAATGTATTTTACTAACTTATTATTTCGATTGTGTACAGGTGTAACAAAAGATTTTTTTTTCAATTTAAATTATGATGTTACCTCGCGAGCAATGTCAATATCGGCCTGTGTCACTAATGCACTCTGTAGTTGTTTACCAACTGCGGCTGAGGTTTTTTTTGAGGATTCTAAAGTTTCGAATAATTCTTCGTTTTCTAACAGCGAACCTTCACTCTCGTTTAACAATCTCAACAATTCGTCCTCCAGTTCGACCAATGTTCTTTTTCCAGTGTCGATATTTATAATTAAACTATCTTTAAGTTTTTCTAACGCTGGTTTTTCTATTCTGACGACGTTCCCGAGTAGCTGGTCTTCGAGACCTTCCTCTTTTATAGCAAAGTTGACAACAGTCGCTAGTGTAGAAATTTCAGGTGGATAATGAGGATTTCTCATTTTGGTCGTGATGAAAAATCTAAACCGTTCATTGTACATTAAAAGTTTATCGCCCATTTTTATAAAGATCTTGTCGTCTGAAATAATTATTCAACTATTAATATTACTGTAAATTCTATTGCTCATATTTCTACATTTTAATCCAGGTAAAATATTGACTTACTTTCTTTTACCAGTGCTTTGGCCAAAACTGGCATTACCGCAGGGTCAACAGTTTCCGAGGCAATTTGCAACAACGCGGGAAATCCGTTCTGCAACGCGTCTTCTAGTATGTGAATATAGTTTGGTACACCGAAATCAATGACCTTCAATTCGTTCTCAGCTTCCATGTTTTTAATCCATTTTAGTGCTTGACACTGTGGGTCTATGACCAACGGCCAACGGGAACCCCTACTGATAATAATACCGTTTTCTGTACTGAATGCATCATTTGGCAACCCATTTATGTTCCATGTCCTAATAATTGCTGGATCGGACAAAAACTCAATGACTTGGTATTCCGGATCACACGGTATAGTCATTTCCCTGACCGATGTGACCCATAATTCCATGAGGGACTCTCTATATTTGGACACGAAGGGTCCCATGTAAGAAACAAATGCCGTGCTTATCAGACAGTCTCCTGGCAAATAGTCAAAGTCTATGTCGAGTTGTTTTACGGTTCTAGTCCATCGTTCTCTTTCGTCAGATAATCTGTCAATAAGCGTAGCAGCTCTCTCGAGATTCCGCCTTAATTCCTCGGCCTATGAAAACGTATATTTTAACGGTGTACAGACTTATATGGCAGTTTGGTTTACTTTTTTGACGAGTTCTTCTTTTTCTATCATTTTTTCGGCGTAATCCGCTTGAAGTTTGTCTAGAAGAATTTTCAGTTGCAAAAGTTTCTGCTCTGCCGTATAAAGAGCTAATTGTTTTTCTTTAAGAGATGCCATAGCGTTGTCTGCTAGTTCTTTTTTCGGCGCAACAATTCTAGTATATAATTTACTTAGTACATATTCTTACCTAATTTAATGTATTAAAAACAGTTTACTTGTAAATTTTTGCATATTTTTCAATAGCAATGACCCACATAGCTAAAGATTTTGCAGCTAAAGACTGAGCGCCTACTTTAATAGGATCAAACTCAGGATTTCTTGTAAATACCGCTATTTTTTTAAGGACCTTTTCAGGTATATGGTCTTTATCGAAATCTTTCAGCTAAAAATCAACAGTAAAATTATAAGTTAACAAATACGGAATATAAACATAATATTTTATAAAATCACATAAAAATTATAGTACTTGATTTAAAAAATTCGGATCTCCTAGTTGCCTCTTTGCTTCAGCCCAACTAGGTTCCGACTGCTTTAATGTCATAACAGCCTCTAATACTAATTTTACTCTTTCTGGAGGTCTCGAAAAAGATTTAACTTCAGAAAGATCTTTTTTGTTGAGTGAATTTAAAGCCTAAAATTGTTCGGTAAGTTTATAGTTGTAAAACAATTAATATTGCATTATATAATTTACATCCATCGCTTCTTCTAAAGCCGGCATTGCTAATTTTAAATCAGCTAGAGCCTGATCATATAAACCTTGACAAATAATTTCATCTTCTTTGATTTTAATACTCTGTTCCGCCACTTCCGCTTTTTGCTTATCAGCCTCTAACGTTTGGTTGTAAATTATAACAAGAAACTTATCACACTCTTTAGCGTACTGATTAACTAGTTTGGTGGCTTTTCCTAATTCTTCTGTCATACCAGCAACTTTGTTGCTAGTATCATCGATTTTATACAAACCATTTCTTAATTTATTTGCTGAACTTGCTATTTCGATACGTTTAGAATCTAAAGTCCTAGAAACAAACGATTGGTATAATGAAGAAATAAGTATAGTAACAACATTAACTAGTACTCTTTATATCCGGACACTAATTCCAAAAAATTTGTAGGAGTTACATAGTTGTAGCGTTTCATTTCAAGTATCATTCGAGTAGAACAATCAACCACAGATTGATGAATCGTGGCAAAAATATCTGCAATACAGACTCTCAACTCCTCCTATACATACATCCTATTAATAATATTTTGATCATATTTATTAACGCATATTCAATATACCTGCGTTAAAGTAACATTTTCTATGTCGTAGACCTGGAATCACATATAAGTAAATATTACACGGAAATACTGACGTGTTTAGTATGGGCATTTTTTTTTTTTTAGTTAAATTATAAACTTATTATACCCTTGGTTCTCCTGTGATTGTTTTTAAAATATCTAATGTGATTAACGAATTGGCTGCCACCTCAAGTAAAGCTTCTTTTGGCCAATCCAAAAACCAATCGATGGTTGTACAATTGATCAGCGACGGGTATTGCCGTAATCGCACTCTATAAATGTATAAATTAATAAAGGTCTTGGTAAACGATTATAACAGCAATGTAATAATACTAAGTGTACAGACCGGAATTCGTTTCCTATTGGACTTAAGCAAAGAACAATGTGCAAGTTATTTCTAACTCTTTCTATAAAAAAAGAATAAATTGCTTCAGCGGTTTCAAGTACTCCAGATCTTTTTGCAATATCTGTCAGAGAGGATTTAATCTAAAACACAACAATTATTATGTAAATACGTACGAATGAGTGTCAAGTTCTTTAGATAAATAATAGCTATAATGTAAGGCTTTACTTCTTCGAATTCGTCTCCTTTGTACAGTTTCGATACTTCTCCTGTACTTAATATGTTATTGATTATCTCCAAAAACGATTCGTTAGCTATTTGAGTATCGTTAAATAAAAATGTAGTCGGCTGATCTTTAACCCCAGTAAGTGCATAGAGGGCTTTTAGGTCTTCCTTGAATTCCATAGTGCCGTACGATTTAGTCAACTCAATAGTAAACATGTTGTAATTGCACAGCCAAGTGGCTAGTCTCGCGAGTGACGATCTTCCTGAACCACCTGTTAACAATACGATTTAGATACTTTGAGAGTTGAGAACTCAGCTATCTAGTTTTATATGTGCATAGCAAATGCGTCCTACCAATGCCAACGATGAGCATATAGCCTCTAGGCTGCGAAATAACTCTGGCTATACGGCAGACGTGATCGATGGCGTCTCTGAACAATACGAGGTTCATCGGTATTACCCCAAAACTGGCGTTGTATTCATCCAGTCTGCTGTATATGTAACTGTGCAGTACCTTCTCGTCAAGCACTTCTTCGTAAAGTACATACTTGTTCAGAAAGTCACAGAATATCGGATTATTATCAGAACTGCACAGGCTACGGTAAGTCAAGTCAAAATTTTTGCCAAGCTGATTGTTGACTTGGTCTGAAAACCATTCTCGGTCACTGAATAAAATTACGGGCGTTCATTTATTTTAATAAAAACGAATATAAGAACTTATTAATATTTACTTAATGTCAACCAAGCGGTCGCTGAAGACCCGAAATACTTCGTGACACCATAGTCGTAAAATAGAAGCCTTAGCGTTTTGGAAATCAGTGCTGCTTCGCAGTAAACCTTGAAACACCTAAACTTAATATTTTTTTAATGTGAGATCATTAATGATTCATATTATGATGATAAATTATCAGTCATAAGAAACAGCTTCTACGTAAACCTTAGATATATCTCGCAAGTTGAAGAGATAATGCATTTTTGCTGGCGTAGGTAACATACTTGAAACAACGTTACTGTACAAGTCGACCGTCATTGTAGTCAATCCTTCTCCTAATACCAATAATACATACAAAATAAAACACCCCTACACATGAATGTAGAGGAAAATATAGTGTAAACGAAATGTTTGTGTACTCGAGTCAAATACGTCCTCATTGAAATCCTTTAAGTGTTGTTGTAACATAAGACCATAAATTCGAAATATTTGAGATTCTTCTGGGAACGTTAAGTTGATGATGCTGAAACTACTCATCAAACGATTACTAATAGTATTTCTGCCGCCACCCGGAGGTCCCATAGCGCCGATCAATAACATTTTTTTAACGTATTTAATCGTTTGTTTCTGTCGGTCGTACCAGAACTCGTAATCGATCCATTGCCTGATCAATTCCAGAGGTGGTTGAGCTCCATAAACTTCTTTAGCGGGCATATTCATGTCATCCAAAAACGTTATCATGGTTTTACCTGAAATCCACAACAATGTCGATTGGTTTTATTATAATACAGCAAAACATTTTATCGAAACCACTTTTGCATACCAGCCATAGGCGCGTATAGCTCCTTAGTCCTTTTTTCCAACCGTCCTTCAATGGCCTCTTGCACATTGTTAGACGTAGTCTGAGCAGACATGTTAATCGTTAAAAACGAAAATGTATTTTTATTCAACGACTCCAAAGCTTTTTGAGCAGTCGACGTTTTTCCGGTTCCCACAGGACCTACTAAGAGGACAGGTTGTTTTTTGCTTAAATAGGCTTCAGTCAAGTAGTTATACCGGACGGTGTCAACTGTAGGTACGATTATCTTAAAAAACGGAGCGCTAAAAAGAAACAAATGTTGAAATGAAATACAAATATAAATAAAGGTTTTAATAAAATCCAGTACTGACTCTGAGTCGTATGTCCAATGAGAAGGTAATCTGTCTTCCCAATGATTTAACCTGCTGAAATTGGTATCCACATAATAATGGTAAACTGTATCTCTTACTGGAAATACTCTTTCCAACTCTCTGATGTAGATGTCGATTTTTTTGCGTCCATTTTCATTCACTCCAGCGCATACTGACCACAGCATGCTGAAACAAATCGTTGTAGTTTGTTGGGTCGCATTCAAATGAACTATGCTTTAACACATCATGGTATTTACTTACCAAAATAGAAACCATATTTTCGTGAGGAACATGTATTTATCCTCGTCGTAGTCTTTTGGAATTCTAACGGCCACATCCTCAAAAGTGAAACATTCCAAAAGTTTACAACAAGACATAACCAAACTCAATTCGGGTATCGTCACTGTTTCTGTACAGTGCATTTTTTTAAACACCAAAATATTGTCTATGTAGTTATCGAAATGAATTTTCATCTAGACAAAAACAATCATTAATAACAATTACCTACGTTAAATAACTGATTTATGTTTGAATAACACACCGCCATTCTATATGGTTCGAAATTACAAAGGCTTAACCACGAATCTACATATAGCTTCCAGCCAAAATCGTTATAATCATTAAACACAATACCGCATCTGGAAACGGTCGCTGGTGATGCTACCGCCAGATCTTCAACTTCGAACAAAAGTGAAACCTATACGATAGATTATGAAGCTATAAAGAAACACTCATTTGATTGATTTATGTCTTCTTTTGGTATTAACCTGTTGCGGCATTGTAATACGTTCACTGTTGATGAGTGTCAGCACCTTATTATCGTCCATTACAGAATTCATGTTCTCGATCCATACGGCGTCGACAGGTCCATCAAAAAGTATCCATTTTTTTTCAATTGAACTATCTTTAAGCACAACACCCGATGAATTAATTTGTATTAAATATAGACGAAATAAAATAATTATAACTAGACACCTGATGATCGAAACACATGTTTAAAATAGAAATAAATAATTTATATTACCTGAGCAGACTTTACGCATAATTGACGATAATACGCCATCCATCCATTCTTGAGTGGCTAAATTATTCTCACCATATAACTCTCCCAAAGAAAGCGCTTTCGGATTCATAGGATATTCCTGGTTATAGATATATGTGAAAAAGACATAAAGTATACGATACAAAACACTTATGGACATAAATTTCTAAATTTTCTAAATTACAAAATGTATATAAATGCTTTACATATAAGGTATAGCAGACATTTATATAGACAAATTAGTTTTAAAAATAATTGTTATTCAAAACCGAATTTAGAAAGAAATAACTTAATTAAAATACGGTTATTGTTAATCAGCTTGTTATTTAAATGAGTGTTTAAACTAAAACATTTCAAACAACACATTATAACAATTTAAGTATCCTGTATCACGTCTAGAATATTATTGTTATTTATTTAATTTGTATATTATTATTATTTTTCTCTGACACAGCGAATTCGAGGCGTGTTAAGCCACATGATAATGATGATTATTGTCATTATTATTCACCTATATTGTATACTTACAATAACCACTTCAAATCCGCTAACATCATTCTTCTTTAAAAGAGCCGAGGCATCTCTTAATATTTTCCAAGTAGTGCTTTTGGCTGCCCCCGTTTGTCCTAAGACCATAACCGAGTGTCTTGAATTTTGTGTTTCATAGAGCTGAACGATTTTCGCAATCGCAGCTTTCGACGGCTGAAGATTACGTTTAACCATGCATGTAGTTATGGCGTCAATCAATATGTCGTTTTTTACTGGCGGCAAAATAATATTGATAAACAAGTCGTTGGTTATACCCATGAAGAGCGGCAAGTCTTCCTGGGTAAGCTTTGCAAGATTCATATTTTGCATTGCCAATAGTAGTACCTAGTAGTTGTAGAACGTCAAGCAAGCATTCTCAATTTATACATTAAAAAACAATAATATGTAATATTACTTCTTCGTTCGGCAAATGAGAATAGAGGCGTCTGCATTGACCCGAGTACCGTAACAAAGCAACCATGCCCCGGAGCCCAAACTCATAATGGTCTTGTTTACTGAGCTGCTGTTTGCACAGAGAAAACAAAACAAACACCTTGTTGGCTAGATTTCGGGTGTCCTTAAAACCTTCGCCGAACAACATAATCTCGGCGATAAGTTTACTGTCCGGCACCATCATAGAAATAGCGCGAAACATTGACTTGAGATTGTCGGGCAGCTCCGTTCGTCCAGCATATCCGGGATTCATCGTGATGAATATACCGCAAGTGGATATCAATCTAATTTCATTTCTTTCGAACACAAAAGACGTCTTGTTGGCGGCGAGCGCTGAGAAAATGGATAATATTTGTTGTGCGACTACGGACAACACTTCAATGTTGATACGGTTGAACTCGTCGAAGCATCCCCACGCGCCCTGTTGAGCGAGACCTGCGGAAAAACGTATAAAAATTAAGTAATATAAAAACCAGAAAGGAGAGAATAGTAAAAGAAAGATTATTACCGGAGAAGTTACGACCCATGCTCATGTAGTCGTGTCCTTCGGAACAATTGATGACAATGACATAGTAGGCAAGGTTTTTTCCCAAATCTTTGACCGTTTCAGTTTTGCCCGTACCCGCAGGTCCTTTAGGACTGCCTCCTCGGAACAAGTGCAGGGCCGTGGTCAACGTGATGTAACACCTGTCGGTTAGCGGCGTGATCACCAACCTACCTGAGTTTCCCAGGTATTCGTATCCATACAATTGTCTCGTGTTGGTTTGCCGAATGACTATGTCACTGATTTTCTTGTCCCAATAAAATCTCAACTGAGACATCCATTCAAACGCCGTCACATCCATACAGTCTACATTATCACATAGTATGGTAGCCGTACGAGTTATAGTTTTTATTTAATTACCGGATTGCATGAGATTTTAAAAACTATTTAAAATTGATCTCGATTTTACGTTTCAGATTTTATTAATCATTAAATGAACGTTCTTGCAACCCGGCAAAAACAATTGTTAAACAACCGAATAGTACGCACTGTTCTTATACATTTTTTCGATCACGTCTCTAGCGTGAATTTCTATAGTGACCAAAGCCACCACCTTTAACCTTGCGGTTTTCGGTAGGTTGCCTCTGATTGCGTCGGAAAACTTTGACAGCACTTTTTTCTGTTTTTTACGGATTTTTTTTAACGGTAACTTGTTCTCAATCTGTTTACACATTATCAACGCCCGCGTACAGTCGGTCGTCCATTGTATCTGCAATAAGACACAATATAAGCGTCAATTCTTTTACATACTGCAGGAATCAACCGTTCTGATTACTATTATATTATGTTAGAAAGTGGTAAGAAAATTACTTGAGACGCAGTGATACACAGCTGGCCCGGCCAATTTAATATCCAAACGTCACGATTTTTCAAGTTTTTCAATAATGATAATTTAACTTCTTTGAACATGCTTTTCAATGAAGCTCGCATAGCACTTTCTGTTAAATATATACCCATTGTAGGGTTTAATTTATTTAAAATTATTTATTAGGTTACCTATTGCAACTAGCCAAAATTCAACGGGCCCTTCACACATAACCGATTTGACCCAAGGCACATACTCTCCATCGTCAGAATACATTCCGATAGCTTCGAAATATTGATCTCTGCCTGACTGTAATTAACAAGACAAATTTCAAAATAACAACCGAGCACATTTCTTTTGAGAGGCTTACATTCATTTTAACTCTAGTAATGTTATCAAAACATTTTTTCAAATGAGGCTGTATCATTTCTGGATTCTTTGAATTTCCCAAAATCTCCAATAGATCGTCATTGGATATAAAATAAAACCTTGGAAACACATGACGCTTGGTTTCCATGTACACTTCCAGAGCTCTTTGAATCGATTGTAGACGATCGTTCATTGTATTCAAATGTTTGAGCAACGCTAAAATAAATAACCAGATATAATTTTTTTTAGTAATAAAAAAAATATGTATAAGTACATAAAACTTACATTTTGAATTACAAGCTTTAAAAACGTTTTTGACGTGATACATTTTCGACGTTATTTTTTTCCATTCTGACGTCAAAATACCGTATTCCCGTGTTTCATTTGGCATTTTTTCCCGAATGTCATCACCCACAAATATGTTCTAAATAATACGATTGAAAAAATACAACTGCTGATCAATACTAAGTAAAAAAAGTATTACTTCTAAATAAATGTACAGCCTCTGTACGTTGAGTGTCATTTCCAATACTTCCATAACTGTACCAAGCCCTTTTTCCCAATAGTCGGCTTCTTCCAGAAATATAGATATGTATCTAAAATTATCCATATTATTATTGTATAAAAACTATACATGTGTGTAGTAACAACTACATACTTCGATCCTTTCATGGAAGATATCTGTACCAATTGATCCTCCAAAGCTTGCGTTATGTCATCAGCTGCTTTTAGACGATAAATCTGATTCTTATATGGCTCTATACTTAACTTCATATTATCCCAAGTTTCTCTTATTATCCGTAAAGCCTATTAAATAACTAAGAACGTTACTATCGATTCGACGACATTATTCGTTATTTAATTTACATTCTCAATATTAGCTTCCATTGACGCTCTGGTTGAAATTTCACTTATTTCATCTTCAAAGTTTTGCATTCCCATTCCTATTACCATTTCTAATGTAAACGTTTCGTCGGTCTCGTCAAATTCTCTATTGATATTATTTTGATTGTTGAATTGATTTTTAACGGTTATTTCATACATTTTACTCACGATTGTATTACTCTTCGCACTTCGTCCCAGTGTCTAGCTCTCATCGATGGGTTTTTCAAATCAGTTATTAAAGGCAAAACTCTTCTAAACGCGTCCACAGCGTTTCTCGTAGTTTCTAAGACTTCCCATTTTCTTTCTCTCAGTTCCTTTACCAATTGATTTAACTTTTTAAATAATGATTGTGCTGTAATTTCCATTTCGGACACTTTAATCTCCCAAAATTTTCCATATTTATATCTTTCCCAAGCTACGTCCCATTCGTTTATTGTAGACCATACTAGTTCTAAAGTAGCTAATTCCTGATAAAGAAGAACATATTATTTATAGTTATATATCACTTTCAACTATAACGTAGATATTGGAAATTTTACTTCTTTGAGTTTTTGTAATGCATATGATGGTACGTATTTTACACCAAATAGAGCAAGATCTGCTTTTAATTGCTCTTCCGCTGCTTCCAATAATGCCAATTTTTTTTTCAAATCATCAATATAATCCAGCGCGTCTGTAAGTTAATGTAATAGATAATATCAAGCTGTATTTAGTGATGTGGCTGTTGTGTAACTACCAGCTGACTTCCAGTCTGAAGTAGTAGGCATCGTTTCGTAATAATGTTGTAACAAATCGTCCGACTGCTGCTTTATAACCTCTTGTTTATTTAAAAGCACGTTTAAAAACTCATCGCGTTTTCCTTCTAACATAGCTTCCGCTGATTCTAGCACAGCTTTGTAGTCATTCCAATTTGTCATCATATTATTGTATCTTATTCTCATTATATCCGGTATATCAACACTATGTTTTTCTATAACATAATATACCTAATCTATATTAATGTGACATACGAGACTGTTGAAACTATACAGCGTACACGAGTTGACTCATACCTAAAATGGTTATATTATCCCCAATAATCCAAAAATCGTTTTCTTTAATCGCGCACTCCAACACTAATTTATTTCGATATTCAGTAAAACTGACCATTTCAAAAATAGTTTTTGGTGGTGTCATTACGCTAAAATACAATTCGAATAGAGCGAAAGAAATAGTATTAGAGTTACATTTAATTTACCGTATGCTGTTGACGTTTGTATATTCATAAATTCCTTCGATGAGTTTTGCAGTTATTTCCAACAGTAGTTGTGAAAAACTATGTATCCAAAGTTGACAATGCGAAATTATTTGTTTGATCATAAGGCTTGTACGGATCACAAAGTACGAAACTGAAGATACCGTGTGCAGTTTTTTAATATCCTGTATGTAATTCAAGTATCTAAAATAATGAAGCCCGTCCACAATTAATACAATCGAATAGGTAATTATTATAAGGAAGCGTGCAACAACTCTGATGGAATTAAATTTTTCTTACTGCGTGATTTCTATGTCAAAGTTTTCTGCAGAAGGCTTGCTGTTTCTAAAATTTTCGAAAAATGTGGGTTTGTCTACAATCCAAATATCGCTGTACGATAGTAATCTGGACATATACTGCCTGATTTCTCTTAAGCCATGTTGTGTAGCTAATCTCGATTTAAAACAAAATTCTTAAGTAAGTACATAAATCATACGTAATTCATAGAAATATAATACTGCATAAACTTTTTTAAAAACATCTTGGAACATATTTTTACAGGTTCGTTCTAAACTTACACATTTCTATTTTATGTTGTATATCGTTGCAAATCTTGTCTTCCGCTATTTCGTAACCGTACGGTAGCGATAACACATTTGTTGTCTTAAACGTTTGACTTAATCTCGGTATAGATTTGAATGCAATAACCAAACTAGGCAATGATTTTATTGAACACATAGCTAATGTCATTAAGTCCGAGACGTATTTAATCTAAAAACGACGTGATTGAACATATTAGAATTAATTGTAAACCGTTGATTTGTTAATAAGCTTATGAAATGTACCCGACGGCCTTCTATGCTGACGTGAATCTGAAAAATAGGTACAGGTCCGAATCCATAGCCAATTCTCAGCTCTAACATATTTTCCATTGACCACCTAGAGTTTAATATTAATGATTCCCGTACTAAAATATCAATATGACCGACGAATTCTTCCCAGTGAACGACGACCTGCAGTAAAAATATAACGCGAACTATAAGTATAAACACTGTTCGATTAACACATCACATAATTTGAACAGATCACGAAGCTGATTTTTATGTAAATACTTACATCAGTAATATGGTCTTCAAATCCTTCATATACGATTGATCCGTATCTGACGATTTCGTTGTAGCTATCTACGATTTGTATCATTATCGAATTTCTGGTATGTAAAATATAAATAAAATCGGTACTTAGATTACACAATATCAAAGCAAGCTATCAATAGCATTCTCAATTAGACTGACCTATATTTATCAACTTTCGCTATGTACTCATTAATTTCCATCGCTTGTGTCATTTGGAATGTATACAATGGAGTATTCGCAATTTGTTCGCATATTTTAAATATTTCTGTTATACAACGTTTATAATCGTCTTCAAAACTTTGACTCTAATTTGAGTGCATAAAATGAAATGTTAATCGTCGTATCTTTTTTACCAGTTTCCCCTTTCACATTCAAAGAGAGGTCACTAATATCTCAGCTATCGACAACCTTATCTTAACGTTAAATAGGCCCCCCTCGCTGTTTCTTACCCCCATTTTTATTTTTACAGCTCAACACTGCTATCCACCTTTCATCTCATTCCCACCTAACCGTTTAAAAAATATATTTTCAATGCCTTCATGTTGCGTCAACTTAAACGACGAATAAAGCTACTTTATGGTGACTCAACTGTTTCCAACAAGGTATAGCATTTAATAAGATATGTATCGACGAAGTCGGCGTGACGCCAAGTATACTGTATCACCAACGGCGATAATATCTTGTTACAACTTTGAATCTTTTCACCAAATAGTGGCAATTCATGTTCAGACAAACCTGATGAATTTTCAAAAGTCGTTTAATGCAAGGTCGCTTTTCGTATAAATCATCTATGTTTCATTTACCGGCAACAAAATAGTCGTAGCTTTTAATAGCCATCGTGATGTTCCTGTACACGTTTTTAATTTTTGGTGTCATATCCGCAAGATAGTTGACTATATAAGGCATTCGAAATTCTATCAATAACCAGGACTCGATTTCGTTCATTAACACTCGCATATCTCTAAAAAAAATTCAATCGTATATCATGCTGTTGCGTAAATCATTCTAAAAGATATTATAATTAAAAGTACTCGTCCAAGTTAATTTGGAAGCTCCAGTGGTATTTTGATTTTCTACTTCCCGATAGCAGTCGCTTGTCCAGTCTTTTTTCGAAGTCGGTTTCATAAAATTGATCAGTCCACATTTTAAAAATAGTTTCCATCATGTTGTGAAAAACCTCGACGTATTTTATGTAGTTTTTGTGAAATATTTTTGCGCTCGGACACGTCACAAGCCATGGTCGATCGACCAACATCTATATGTTATAATGTACTTAAAATTATTTACTCCAACGATCATTTCTATTATTTTTTTAATTCTATTTAAATATCTGAAATCCTAACAATTTATGATTTGGTTATTTTTAACCGAAGATGCATGTAGGTACCTATTTTATGAAAATAGGCAATTGACAAACACAACCAGTACAAAGATTGTATATTGTCACAAAGTTAAGTCAATAAACGTTTGTTGCGATTCGTATATTTTTTATAATTAACTCTCAAAGATAGATTAAATAAGAACTGTAAAGAATTCACAATGTTATGCAATATATCTTTATTTTTATTATTATACTACTGACTTACATTCTTAAAATTTGTAATCATTTTGAAATCAATTATACTCATGCAGCATATTCCCGGATATTTTGTCAAAAATGATGGAATGTGATGAATGTTACTCGGTATCAGCATCATCGCTGTGGTGATATTATCAGTTAACATTTTGTAGATGTCGTTGGTCTTCTGTTGGATGCACAATTGGAGCTGCGGCCAATTAGAGAAGTAGTGTAAGGTTTGTAAAACGTACAGTGCATCTTCTATATTACATGAAGCATTTAACGCGTCGCTTAATAAATGTTCTACTTCTGAACACAGATCACGGACATCATCTCGAAATCTAGATTAGTGATTACACGTATTATTATACATAGGAATTTTACTTGATTCAAATTATGAAAGTAATAATAATTAATATATAAAAGTGACTAGGACTAGGCTGGGTTCACCGATTGCAGCATTCTATGTAATTGGTTATTGCACCCATAGAAAATATGGTGGAGAGGAAAGTTGGAATTGGAATAGTTTCTAGTAAAGTGGGATGGAACACGGAAAGAGATAGACGAGAGCAAATCGACGGCATCGAGAGAGCCGTTGAGGAGAGCTGAGATGAAAGAAATGTCAGCCTTTTCACGATTGTAAACTAAAGTAGGAATATTGAGCGCTGAGCGGATAAGGATGTAATCATGTTGAGGATTTTCTATATTTAAAATGAAAGCAGCAAAGGCCAGAAATAGGTTTTGAACTCGCTCGATGCGTACCTGGTCCCGCACTAGGCATGGATGACAAACTACGATTTTATACTCAAGAATAGAACGTACTAAGCTAAAATAAAGGATGCGAAGACATAGGCTTGAGGAGAAGTTGGAAGTATAACGTTTGATAAAATCCAGCACTTTAAGGGCCAATCGAAACGTTTTTATGGTGGTCAAAAGAGGATGGGCGAAAAGTAGATACCTAGATCTCTGACGATGGATACCCGGTCAACAAGAAAACCATTAAGATCACCTCTGGGGATGGCGGGCTAACTGTAAATTAGCATATACCTCTAAAACTTATACTGTATGAAAGAGAAAAAAAAAAATATATATATATATATTAGTTATGACATATAAAATCAGAAAAATTGATATATCTTACATTTGTATATGATGAAACCAATCGCTCGTTTTTAAATTAAAAATCGTGTTGACGACATTCTCAATAGTTTTGACAATATCGTTGAAGCGCAATTCAATAGATTCCACGATTTTTTCAAAATAAAACCCTTTTACAAATGAGAATTTTGGTTTCGGTACGTAAAGCTGTTGTATGTTCATTCTAAAAACATATGGTATTATATTCAATGTATTATTCTTAATATTTTACATACAAACGATATGTATTATTAAAACAATTTGTTTACACATGATTGTGTAACAAATCCATTGTATGACATAGAATTGAACACATTGAATTGAAATAGAATAAGTTATGTATTTCTAAAAAACGGCATGTCTACGGTGGCAGCCTAGGATGCCTGAGCTATCCCTGCAATTTTTTAATGTCGCCGGTCACCCCGATTTGTAAAACAAATAATTTGCAACTTTTATTTAAAAAATTAATGCCTTTTAAGTATTGTTATAAAGATATGTTTAAAAAAATGAGGTAGTGTTGCCAAATTGTTGTCTCTGACCATTTATAATCCTTATCGTTATCGCAATATAATAATATGTATGTGGATTGTGAGTAACTGTTACTATTTATATGAATTATTTTTAAAACTATTGACGGTAGATAATTATCGTAGTGTACGGTTCATAGACATAGCCCAGAGTCGTGGTCTAGACCCCGTCCGACTTCGGAAAAACCTATACTGTAAACGGACTACGGTAAGGTTCGCCTCTGTTATTTGATATTGTTTCTGTTGTATTATTTTATCATGTGGCAAATGTTTTAAGTCACATTTTTGAATAATCAAAAATACATCAATTTAAATAAAGTCGTTTAAATTACATCAAGTACAATACATTCAGTCCAAGGGAATTTGACTACTGCAAAGTATAGTGAAGAAAAGAAATGTGTCTTTGATTTTCTTGGGATAGTAAAATTTATTTTTTTTTTTCGAAGGAAGTCCAATACGACATGTAGCATTTCAAGGATTTGCCAAAGTATATGACGCTAAAAAACAAACGTTGAAATCAATGTCTCAAACTAGATAGGCTTGTTTCGCTGAGGTAGTATTAAAAATAATTACATTGCTTTATTAAGTACGTTAGAAGATATAAATTCCTAATGTTTGATACCTGAAGAGAGAGCTAAGAGCAGTGGACCAAATTTATCTTAAAAAGCTTCAAACTTCAAACTTCTTACTGCTGTTTTATTTATAAACGCCTTAAGATCTTCATTAAACTCATTAAGAAATTCATTGTATATTTATTAATACAAAACAAATGTACAAGGGAAATAATATTGAAATACTAATTGTTATTTTTCCATTATTAGATGTGTTATTATCTGGAATTGATAATGGATTTAAACAAGAAACATAGAAATTTATAACTATAACTGGACAACTAATTAACTAGTCGAATAACAATTCATCTTGTTTACACATACTAAATAATTTGCTAAATGTTCAAACTCAAGAGATTCTTGTTGAAATTAATCTTTTAAATAGTATTGAGGAAACACCTGAGGAACATCATTAGATTATGTATATAAGTGGATTGATTGGTTAGTAGTAGAAGAAGATTCGATATTTTTTTAGACATTTCATGATTGTCTTAAATGTTTTATAGTTTTACCAGTGACCAGATGTGGATGTGATAGGAGTTTTTTTTTAAAATGGCATAGTCAAAACAAAATTAAGAAACGCAGTGACACAAGAAAGACTAAATGCATTATTACTCTTATATACTTATAAATAATATTAATGTTGACGAAGTTATTAATGATTTTAAAAATGTTTCGACAAAAAGAAGACTTGTTCTTTGAAATATGTCATAAACTATTATAAATATTATGTGTTGTTATTATTATTATTTTTTATATTGTCACTCATGTTTTGTACTATTTAAAGAACGTTGTTATTGAGTACACTTACACATCATATATTTTGTTATTTATGTAATTCATAATACACCGTAATTTTTTTTTAAAACTATTACAATAGTTTTTGTTTAATGTTACATAATTGGGTTACAACTCTATGATTATTTAAAATGAAGATTACTAGATTAATGTGTATCTAAGTGGTTTAATAGATAATTAATATTTCTGGAGTTAAATTTAAAGGTAGGTACTTATAATACTATATTAATTGTAAATAGATAATACACTTTTTTTTTAATTTTTTTGGAGAGACTTACCCCTCCCCTTAAAAATACGGCCTTGAGTTTAAGGTTTTATTTTCGGTTTATTAAGGTAGCGCCGGTCATTAGCTAGGCTGCCGCTGTGGATAAAGTCTAGTCACGACTATGGCAAGTATATAATACATACCTTTGGAACACCATCATTGCCTTGCATATGTATTCAATATCTTTTAGTCGTTCCAAAAATGCATACACGGCTTTGGCTTTTATCCATACTTTTCCTTTATACTTGAATTGGTGTACACTGACCGCCTGCAAAAACATCGTTCTAAAAAGTACAGTGAGTAAGTCACTGATCAATAGAAATTATGTGATAAAACACATTCAAATAAAAGTTTCGATGCAAATCTGCAGATGGTAGAATACAAAATTTAATTTTAGTACATGTATTTTTAGTATTAGGGTGGATACGATTAGGGTTGATCGTTTGCCTATTAAAATGTATTATAGTCGTTACCCATATTTAACTTTTTTAAAGTTTTGGCCCATCCCCATTACATGAACGTGATTTGCATTATAAAGAAATTGGTTAAGTGGTTTAAAATATATCGTGGATTCCGACAAAAAAAAAATAAATACACGGCAAAACCAATACCTTCTTAGCTCCGTATCGAAGTTAAAACCAAATACCTAAATAGACAAGTAAATTCGAACCTCTTTGAACATTTCGATAAAATGATTACAGCAGTTAATACATTTGTGCACAGACTCAAGTGTCGCTTCTACGTTGCCTTCAAATAGTATTTTTATATCAATTGTTCTGCGACATATGAAAATAATCTGATTCCCAAGGTAGTCACAAAGACGGTTCATGTCGGATCTAGAACACATTTGGCGCTAAATTCAAGTCTATAAATTCATATGCCTAGACGTGTAAGGGTACTTACGGTCGGTTGTAGTACGGCGATTCCTCGAATATGTAAATGATTTTAGTGAATGTTTCCGGCAACATGTATAAAATTTCATCTGGTGAAATAATTGCATACAGTTCTGTGCAGGATTTCATTAACACTTGCAGGTAGTTCAAATTTGACTCGGCTTCGATCAAGCCCGTCTGAAAGCATTAAAAAAAAAAATAATTTTATTACTTGTTACTATTACAATAATCAGACTTAAGTTTTATAGAATTAAACCAAGACCACGTTATCCTAAAATTAGATTATTTAGACAGAATTGTTTACAAAAATAATTATTTCAGAGATCTATTAACTATATTATGGACACAGTTGCGTATCAGACAAAATATTAAATGTAATGCAATTCGGTCGACATTCAAATATTTTTTGTTCTAAAAACCGATGAGATAATAGCGATAAATATTCCTAACGAGATTATGTATCACTTGCGATGATAGCCAGGAAATTAGAAATGCTATAAAATGTAAAAAGGTTATGGTATCCACGTTTAGTGAACAATGTGTATGCAATGTACATGTTATAGTTACCGTGAGTTTTTCCATCATTCTCTTAAATGCTGTCGAAGAGACTGGTCTATTTTTATCCAATATAGTTAACAATTCGTAAATACTTTTATACTCCAACACGACTACTGTATATCTAAAATCGGTTACTAGAAAAAAAAAATCCGATTAGTAGATAATATTTATGTACATAAAAATGTGTATTTATAAGTATATTCTTTATAGGTCCAAACAGCTGTACTTATTTCGATCTAAGTTAGCACATATATTATTTAGATTCTGGAAAGGAAACACCACGGGGGTAAGAAAGCACCCTTAAATGGGCGGGAGGGGGTGGAACTTGGTAACATGTAAAAATAATCGCAAATGGCTCATATTAGTGTCGAATCCAGTTCTATGTCCGGGGTAATCTCTGAAACTACTGACTCAATGTCTATGTAGATGGGATGAAGATAGAAAAACAATGAGGAGGGGGAGCGGATGGGGTACTGTTTTCATTGGAAGCCAACCAAAACCGAGTACACTTAGCTAGTGTTCAATAAAAACATGTACTTATTGATAATATACTTACATCTCTCCTGCCAGTAATTAAACTCATCGATAATGTGTTCCATGGAAAACTCACACTTCGTAGCGTTTCGGTGGGTATCGCTTAAACGGTTCAGTATTTCCGAGTATAATTCTTTTAAAACATCTAAATATGAACGTACACAAAAATGTAGTTTATTTTATACATCGAGTGAAGTTTCTTTGGAGCTACGTTTTTTTTATAGACGCAGGGCTGGATCAAGGGGGGGGGCTAGAATGGACTGTAGCCGCGGGCCGCAATTCAAAGGAGGTCACAATGTTTCGTTTCATTTTTATTCAATAGTGACTTATTCATGATAAAATAATAGAATATAATAAGTCAAACTAATTCAGCGTACATTTTTGAGTCTGCTGTTTTTATTCTAAATTATATTGATAATCCAAAATCCAAATAAAAAGTATGGACGACCTATACTTTTTTATAAAAATATTTTCTTTAATTTACTTACAAATTTTAAAAGAAATCGAATATAACCTTTTTATATATAACTCACCTAACTTACACTATAAACATATTAACTAATCTAAAATTAAGAATCTATGGAATAGCATTAAAGTTAAATCTTACTAATTATTCTTTAATGAATATATGTATAAGATATTACTAGTTAGGTTAGGTATGGTTTACGAACTTGCCCTGCCGAACCTGGGAACTTTTTTTTTTTTGCTGTTTAAGAGCAGCTGGATTACTTGCTAATAAAATAAAATTAAAAACCAATAATAGTCACTTTCAACGACGTTGATGGTAGTTTCACTCATGGGCGATGTTTCGGCAACAAATTCACTAGGCAAGTATTTCAAATATCTGAAATGGCACAATTCGTAGATAGCATGTTTGTTAAGTTTGTAGAAGTCATGTTTTTCTGCTATAAAAACTCGTTAAAGAATCAACTGTATAATTTTATACTGTACAAAAAATTTAATGAAAATGGTAGTGTTTTTATTTCATTAAAATGTGAAACAAAGTGAACCCGACGGGTAAATTTATAAATCCATCATAGCCCACAGAAGACACATGTTATATATTGTATAATCAATATTTAAAAACTAATTTGAAATATAATTTGTAAATAATACCTATATATCTATACCAGGAAAACTAGTTTGTTATAGATCTTATAATAATCATATTTATGTACTTCTTTTAAAATAAATACTCTTTCAGTCTACTCGAAACCGTTGTCCGTGTAATTTATATTATTATTCCGTAAGTACCGCTCTCACCAAGCGTGGCTGAGTAACTGAGCCCCTTGGTGAGAACTCTTATATTTTAGTATGGATACGTTTTTGGTCTAAGTACAAAAATTTGCGACACGTTTTCGTGTCACGAAATGAGGCGCGTCGGCCGAGTCTGGTGTATTTAGCGCAACCGGTCCACAGTTCAATTTTGCATTTTTTTTACCGGTTATTCTCAGAATATAAACTAAGATAATCTGTTATTATTACCAGCCCATGGAATGTGGATTGCGAGTCACTGATTGCATGCCGTATTATCAAGGACATAACCAAAAACATATCCACCATTCAATGTTTTTGGCCGTTCATTTAAGGGGATTGCATACGGTCTATTTTTAAGGAGTATAGTATAGGCAATACATAAGAAAAACTAAGGTTTTTATAAATGTCGACCATATCAATCAATTTACCGGTTAATTTGTATAAGTTTCAAGGTAATAATTTTAATTTAAATAATATTTTCTATGAGTGAAAGCCATTTTGGTTTATTCTAGACCAAAAAGCCAGACACAATATAAACTACATAGAATGGTTCAATTTCAATTCTGTAAAAGGATTCGAGTTCTTTGGAAAATTTACTGTAATGTTAAAAGCTGATTTTGATTTAAAAATGTCAGTTTCTTGTAATTAATTAAAATAAATTTTCAATTTTTTCTAAAATAAAGACTCAATTTTTTTACATGAAAGAAAAAATAAAAAATCTGTTTCCTACAAACCTAGTGAAGTCGCCAAAGAACTCGTATATCTATACAGAATTAAAATCAGAACATCCTGAGAAATTTTGTCTGGCTTTTTGGTGAAAACGTCAAAAAAGCGACCGCATGCAATCCCCTTAATTGGCAGATTTGCCAAAAGTGTGTCTGCTAAAACTTGTATCGTATGAACCTAACCGATATCTTTGTAAATATGCAAAGGATACAGTCCGGCCAGTGAAATATAAAAGGATGGACTAGAGAGTCCAGGAGCATGATCATTGTTTCTTCCATGGCGGCTTTGAACATTCCCGACCTGACGACTCCGTCGAAGTTGTTTTCGTCCAACCACAGTTTATTTCCATCTTCGTCCACAGCCGACTTATAGAACCACGCCAGCCAGCCGGAACGCGCATTGGGAATTCGAGAATCGCCCTTAAGTACACTGCCGTCGTAGTACAAAAACAGGACGGTCTGATCAGTGGAAACGAACCTATTAACTTCTTTTAGAACGTCCTCGTTCCAGTCAGTTTTTTTCAAATCTGGTATTTTTGTGCGCGATGTAATACGTTTAGCCTGGACATTTACACAAACTGTCAATATTACAGCCACTCCTGGCCGTCTGCATTGACACGTCACCTATTACTTACTAATTGTTTTTTCAACTTGATATCCATTCTAAAATCAACTGTAAGAATATATTTATAACAACTGAATTCACGTTAAGATAACGAACAAATGCATAATCGGTTAGTTGTCTGTTATAAATAAATATGTCAACAGCCGTTGGTATCGACAGAAACCGTTTATGAAATACATTGATTATTCATTTTATTTTTATGTACAACTATGTTATTTTACGAAATACTTAAATGGGGTTTTCTGGTGTAACAAGGTTACAATTTGGCAAACTTTAAGGCTAGAGGGTATGACATTTTTTTGCCACCAAAATACACAACTAATCTTACTGAATTTTAACAATATATGTAAAAAACATTTGTTTTTTTGGAAAATATGAGCCTAAGTAGTTAAAAAAAATACTAAATTGTATTTTATGGTATTCCGATACTCAGTTTAACACAAACACACACAATTTAGGGTCACCATGACCAACGAATGAGGGACACGGTGTCTAGTTATCAAGTTAGTTAAAATTTCTAAGGATGATAATATTTTTTCAACAATATTGGTGTATCAATTTAAATCAGATTCGGAGTCACTTTCTTTATTCATAGATTTAAAGGAAATTGGAAAACCTAAGATAAATCAAAATACAACTCTGGTTTAGATGATAGAAATTTGAGAGATGAGCTAGAACGGAATCAAAATGAAATTGATTTATTTGTTCAGAGTAATCTGGAAAAAACAGCACGCGCGAGGGGATTATAAAGAATTATTAATTTTGACGCAAATATTTATTGGGAAACTGCCTGCGACTGGAGTTCAGTTTCTACATTTAGGAGCCTACCATCATGTTCGATGGATGTCGAAAGCTATTTATTCTCTAAAAATATACTTATTTCGGGAACAGTTAAAATTAACTCCTCAGGAGCAAAAAGGCCTTACATCTATTTTCCTTTTCATTGGTATAATTTATGTAAGAGCTTGGTTTATAGCCCCAAACGCTGCTCGAGCACCTAACCACGATTTACAATTGCTCAAGAAACTTACCGATTATCAATCAATCGATAAAAAAATATCGCAAGTAACGTTAAAAAAAATAGCATCTTATAACATCTTTGGTATCCGAATCCACAAACAGCTTCAGTGGCATTTTTTGATGAAAAATTATCAGTCGACATCAAAAGAAATATGGTAGCGAAACTGGACGTTCGAAATGAACTGAATCAGGGAAATTGTAACAGAATTGAAGTAAAAAATCTCAAAGGTATCGAGGATTTTCTTAATAAAGAAATTGATTATTTCATTGACTCTGGATCTGTAGAATTTTTCGAGAGAAATGGCTTAGATACAGAGTTTTTAGATCTGGATCCTCTGATGTGGAACCAAAACAAACATTTTTAAATAGGTCTAGCTATTTTAAAGGGGCTAAAGATTGTCAACGACTGTGCAGAAAGAGCCGTCAATTTTGTCCAAAATTATAATAACATTTTGACTACAAACGAAGAATTCTTTAAGATGCAGTAAAGAATTTCAAGATTCTACGAAAGTAACGAGTATAAAAGAATTTAAAGTATGAATCAGCATATTTGGGCCTGATTTTTATGTAAGATCCATATGTTTTATATACATAAATATGGTTAATAAGTTATATTAACACAATAAAATTGTTTCCAAACTAAATGATTAAACACAAAATCAAAATATCTAAATCACATTAATATTGCACACAACCACTATAATATTATATACATTTATTTAATTTTTTTTTCTACCTCTCTCATTTTTCCATTTTTTTTTATTATAAAAAATATACATTGTAACTATCACACATCATCCCTACCAAAATATATTGTCAAACCTGTAAGGGCGTTTTGTCAACTTCAAATACACCTGGAAACGAAAACAACATCAAAGGATCAAATCAAACAACCAACCACAAGGCAACCTTATCTCCTTCACCTGCATAAAACAGCAAATGTCATATAACAAAAACCACCCACTCCCTAGAAACACAAGATTTTAATTAAGTGAAAATTTCACCACCAGGACAAAATACAAAAAATATAATTCAAAAGAAGAGACCATCCAATTTACTAATACCTCAGTATTCGACTTACCGCGAGCCAGAACATACACAAACTATAATAGTACTATACCAATACCAACATGTCTTTCATAACAAGTACATCCATATACACCGAAAATACCATCGAGAAATACTTAGAGTTAATAATTGACAATACTAATAACAATTATTATTTCTACACTAACTTCCTATTGGATTACATCAACAAAGGATTCGAACATGTTAAACAAAAAATAAACAAAGACATATTACTCAAAACCTATCTGTTCTTCCCGTTCAACTTCAATGAAAATCACTGGATGCTCATCACTTGCCATGTGCCTACAGAGAGCGTGATAATATATGATGGAAGAAGAGGAACTTACGAGGACATCACCTCCGACTTAATTGATTTCCTTACTCAATGGGGAAATGAACACAAAATAAAAAAAAAACTATGGACGGTTAAATTCGGCAACCAACCGATGCTAACTAATTCATGGGACAGTGGGCCGAATTTAATTGAAATCGCAAAACACCTAGCAACAAACAAATCGCCGAACATCAACCAAGCCATGATGCCATTCATAAGAACGAGGCATAAGGAGGAGATTGCACAAAACACACTTTTTCTCCAACCTACAACACCACAAATAATTCTGACAACACACCCTACTCAGGTACATAAATTAACTGTTAATTTTAAAACGTTAAAAAATAAAAAAAATCCTTCTAAAATAAAAAAAAATAGATTAAGAAGACACAAAAAAAAAAGGCAAAGCCTAATTGCAAAAGAAATGTAAAAAAAAGAATGCAATACCTAAATCCCCAATAGCACTTTTTTTTTAATCAACCTGATTTTAATTTTTTTTAAAAAAAAAAAATGTTTTATATTAGGCCACGGGGACGTGTCCAAAATTCGAAAGTGGCACTTTGTAATGATTATATTGTACTCATTGAATCATTTACATGTAATATCATAATACATAATACATAACACACAATACATGAAATTATATGCACTAAAAATACCTCTATATATGATAAGATTATATGCACTAAATTCAATATATGCACTAATCAAAAATGTCAATTATATAAGATCAATTATATGCACAAATAATAATATCGCACACAATTATTTATATATTATTTCAAATACAGTATTTTATAAAAGTATTAAAGGATATATTAAAATAAACAGGACACATAACATATGCTGACTCATACCATACAATTGTACGCTTGGATGATTATCCTAGGAAACATTTCATACCTCACCCCCAGCTAATGACGCATTTACTCCCTATATAAGACAATACGACGGGCTTGTCGCCGCTCAGTCGTTTAGCTACAATCGTCTGCAACTTATCAATTATTTAATTGTTAAGGCAGGGTGTGCGTAGCTAACCGATTCTTTTCGTAATTGTTTATGGTTTTGACTCAGTGTATGTTCCAAGTCCTATGCACAACAAAACATTGTGTTTATTTATTTGTTTCATTTAATAATTCGTCTATTTAATTCTCATGGAACTTAAAGCGTCAGGGATCCAATCTTGGAATTTTTTCTGGAATGATGTCTCGTCAGCGATTGGAAAATTTAAGTAGTTAAGTAGTTAATTAATTAGTGTTTAGCTAAGGGAAGACAGCTAGAGTAGCGGCTGTTTAGTGAGGTTAAATATGGACCCTTAAGGTCTGTTGCTTCTAAATATCGCAGCCTAGTAGTCTGATCTTCTAAACGAATTTGTGTAGTCCTCTGACTAGTTATCACGTAGCATGCTAGAGGATCACCAAGTTAAAAACGCTTAAAGGTATATCTGAAAAGGGTAACTTCATTTGGACGAACAGGAATACACTCCGAGCGGATCATTAATACATTACACCTAGTAGTACGCGTGTTATTAAGTAAAACTTTCGGTATCTATTAGAAACTAACGAGTTCGGTAAGTGCATGTTGTACGGGACTTCCATTTTCAGTCACTACAGACAACAAAGGAACAACGAAGAACAACGGAGGACAGCGAGACAACGCATTTCCACTCTATAGCTGAGCCATAAGGTACGTGAAAGCTTATTAACACCAGCATACTATTGTAGTAATAGGATATGGAAGAGTAGGACACATTTAAAAGCACACATACATATATTAAAAGTAATTTCATAAAAGACATCACAAATTACCCCTCCTATCCCTATTTTTAGCCCCCATCTTTATTACTACAAATTGATTTTCAAAATAAAACTAAATAAAAATTCCACGTTAATAATAATGGTAGATATGTTCACAGTTTTGAAATTGACAAACGAATCAATCCTTTTTTTCCCTGAGAAACAAATTATGTGATATTGTATGAAAATTTGAAATTCTAAACCACTATATTGGATTTCTTACATAACATTGTCCAAGTGTAATGTTTTTTTTTTTTATGGATTTTAAAAATTATATATTAAATATTTTAGCTTATAATGTATTTATAAGATGTAATATTATATGTACATTGAAATACCTTTATTTTATTAATGAAGGTGATGTTCCTCAAATTCTTGACTAAAATAACTTATTTTGTACGTTTTTATTATCTCTTTAAAAGATGTGTAGATTTTGTATTTTTTTTTTTTTTTTTTACTTGCATTTTTATTATTTGCGTTTATTTAAATATGATATTACTAATATTATTTTTAAAACAGGATGTTAAAGTTTTAAAAAATTGTATAATTCGTTTTCTGTATTTATTCAAAACATAGAAGGTATAATTTAAAAAACTCAATATCTTTCTGCAAAAGGTTTTCTATTTAACTGACTATAATTTTTATTATTTACAATTTTTATGTTACGTACAATTAAAAACTTTACTGTTATATTAAAATATGTTTAAGTATTTTAAATATTTTTTTAGAACCTAAGTTTGTGTTTTAAAAAGGTTTATAAAATTGTTTTAGTAACTGCGTACCCTAATTATGGTAGTCAGATGTATCAACTATCGATTT